CGTAATAGATACGGTGAAAACATTTCAATCCTTAAAAATACAAAACAGGGGCGCCTGGGTGGCTCAGTTGGTCAAACATCTGACTCTTGATGTTGGCTCAGGTCAGGATCCCAGAGCTGTAGGACTGAGCCCTATGTCCTCTGCTGACAGTGCAGAGCCTGCTTGGGATTCTCTCCCTCTCTCTGCCTCTCCCCTACTTGCACACTCTCTCTCTCAAAATAGATAAATATTAAAGAAAAATAAAGGTAAAAACACAAAACAAACACCTGTCACTAATAATAAAACCACTCTGAGAGTCCCATAAAATGAAGGTAAAGCTGAAATTAGAAGATGAACTTGGAGGAAGCCTCACAGGTCTGCCCACACGGCAGCTCTTCTTATAATCCCCCCCAAAACTCTCAACATCAATTTGATAAATATTAAATATTAGTAAATATGTTCTCCTAAAATACAAGAAAGCAAAGAATTCTAATATTTAAAATTTTAAAGTCTATTAGGCCAAGTAGTTTGGTTTTTAGTTCAGACTTAGCTGAGAACAGCAATATTAAAAGAATGGCACAACTAGGAAGAGTAGGGAAGAAAAGCAGGAAGAGTAGCAAGAAAAGCTAGCTACAAATATATTTGTACTGTTTCTTCTAAAGGTATTTCTGGAACGCAATTCATTTGAAAACTGGAAGCCACATATATTTAGCGTCTCGTTTGCTGACATTTCTAAACATGCTAAGTTTTCTTCCATGTTACAAAGATATCCATAAAACCAACTTTTAATATGCAATATTCAAGAAATAAAAGTATTATGTCATATTTAACACATCAAATACATTTCCTTTTCCAAAAAAAAAAAAAAAAAAAAAAAACTAGAAGGAAAATCAATGCCAGTTTATTATATCCATGAGGTAAACATACTAAGTTAGAAAATAATTCTGAACCCTGGATTATTCAATATCTCAATATAACTTCCAAAATTTTCCTCGACTGAACAGTCTTTTCCATAGATGACTTAGAGCAGAATTTTCAAAGTTCTACAAATTTACTATTATAAGAAAACAAGGTTTGTAGACTAGGGATGATATTTTATACTTGTAATAATTATTGAAAGCCTAATTAGGCATCAGTACTAAAAGTAATCAAATGACTAAATTCAAAATTATTCATAAAACTAAACTATTCTAAGGTTTGTTTAATGCCTGGGAAAGATGACATGACCATTTCTTTCTTAATATTCAACACAAATACATGAAATGTCATGCACTGGACATTATATTTTTCTAAAGGGGACACACAAACAACAGCTTAACAAAGAACAATATTGAAGTCCTATAGTTTGGGCTCTTTATTATTTGGGCATCAGTAATAATTTAGCTGTTTGCTATTCTACAGTCTCTTGATGCTGAGGAAATCCATATGGTCATACATCTAAAGTCAGTGTGTCTACCTGACATTATACAATATCATTCATCTTAGTCTATCTTTGACATCCTGCCATTCTTATGCAAAATGGACACAAGGGGATATAACTTCTCCTCACTCATTTATCAACTGGAGGAGAAGGTAGGGCATAAAAGGTCTATGGAGACTTCAGGATACCACCAGAGACCACAAGCAAACACTCAGCACAGTGTGCTACATCACAGCTAGTGTATTTGACATGTAAATACAACAAAGCAAGAAAGAGAACAGTGTGATTCCTGAGCTATGTGTCTTACTTCCTTTGTTGAAATCACCGGGATGCCCAAGAAACTCCAGTTTTAGTTTACCCAGACCACATGAAATTGAAGCATTGTCCATAAAAGACAATAACCACACACAACGTATGGGTTACACAATGATGTCAATTTCACTGCTCTGACAGTCCAAGAATTCTCCCCCTTTTAACATATCAACTTAAGGTCACCATGACATAGAAGTTGTCGGTTAACAGGAAACAGGATTATGAAGTATGCTAGCCAATTTACAGGGCCAAACACCTTAATTAAAATTTAGCCAGAGTTATACCACATGTATTATTCTTCAACACTAGGACAGTCTTTTATTTTTTTATTCCAGTTTTAAGCTAAGAAAACACCTACCTTTTAGCATCAGCACATGAAATTTACTTTAATTCTTTTGTCATGTATACTCTTCCTATTAACAGTTTCCTTCAGACAAGGCAGGTAGTGAAAACTGTCTATTCGTTTCATAATAGGAAGTGTTTTTTGTTTTTATATGGTCTCTTACAACTGTTTTTGTTTCCACCAGCACCTTCAGGGCACATTTTGAATGAACACCATGTTAAAATCACACATGCACTGAAAGTTTTTAGAGTACTACTATTAAATAAAGTACTATTAAATAACATACAAATAATGCTCTAAAATAGTTCTTCAGAGGAAAAAAATTGGAAAGATGACTTTTTATATAGTATATCTCAGTAGAAACAAAAGTATAATAACAAAAAGTAAGTGGTTTTTTTCTGTACAATTACAGAACACAATACACAGAACACTTAGATCCTGGTATAATGTACTAAATTCAAAGCTGTACTTAAAAGCATAAGATGTGATTTGATGATCTTGAAACTATTCTTATACCACTCAAAAATACTTTTTCCTGTTTGCAAATTAATGTTTTGCTGTCATGAATAATTTTATTATTTCATCCTTTACAAACTAAACAAATTTTGAAAAATTTGAATATGAAATTAAAAACATTTCGATTCCCCTGACCTGCTGAAAATAAGTCTGAATCTTATTAGCAAATATTTTCATCTTAAAACAAATCTGCTCATCCAAAATTAGTTGGTTAAAAAAGTTGGATTTCTGGGGTGCCTGAGTGGCTCAGTTGGTTAAGCATCCAACTTTGGCTCACGTCATGATCTCACGGTTCGTGGATTAGAGCCCTGTATTGGGATCTATGCTGACAGCTCAGAGCCTGGAGCCTGCTTTGGATTCTGTGTCTCCCTGACACTCCCCTGTTCATGTTCTGTCTCTGTCTCTCAAAAATAAATAAAACAACTAAAAAAAAAGTTGGATTTCTAATACTTAAACCTAATCAAGGTATATGTATGATATATCTAATGTATGCATATATACATACATACACACAAGCACACATATAAGTACACATAAAAATATATGTACGTTTGTATATGAATAAATGGGTGTTGTGTAAAGCTGCTAAATTTGAGGTAATCTGTAACACAGCAAGAGATAACTAAGACAAGCACCAATCAGGCTGAGTCATACAGTTTGATTTAGAAGAACTCAGAGATCTGGTATTGTTTGTTGATTTTAAGAGAGAGGGGGGAGGAGAGAAAGAGAATCCCATGAGTGGCAGAGAGAGAGAGAGAAGTGAGGCTCACCCAAGGCTTGTGTTTTACCCAAATTGGGGCACGTGTTCACTCAAAGTGGGGCATAGCCCTACCCAATGTGAGACTCAAACTCATGAACTGTGTGGGATGATGACCTGAGCCAAAGTCAGATGCTTAATGACTGAACCACCAAGGCGCCTGAACCCAGAGTTGCTTATTATAAGCCCAAAGTCCTGCTTCGAGAAATGTATCTAACATTGAGGACATTTGCTATTAAGAAACCAAAGAAGGGCACTATTAGATCAGGCATTGTAGAGAAGGAAACCTAAGCAATTTTAGAGCTCATTAGCCATGGAGTAACCAGGAGAAAATGTCAAAAAAATATAATGTATCCTTACTAGGAGGAAGATGTTTTTTTTCTGGATTTAGCACCTTTATTTGTGAAACCAAAGGGTGGGATCAGGTAATCTCTAAGGGCTCTTTCAGCACTTTTTTTTCTTTAATTTGAGAGAGAGAGAGAAAATGAAAGAGAGAATCATCAGCAGGCTCCATGATCAGCCCAACACAGGGCTCAATCCCACGACCCTGGGACCATGATCTAAGCCAAACGAAGAGTTGGGACATTCAACTGACTGAGACATCTAGGTGTCCTCTTTCAGCAATTTCTATGATGCTTGTTACAATACAGCTCTTTTTTTTTTTTTTTTTTTAGTTCATAGTCATCAGAGATGTTTCAGCATGGACACAGATCTCAAAAATGCTCAGAATTCACCTATCTTCTTATAAAATACTGCATCAGAAAGGGAACAATTTATTAAGGCCCAAAGCTTTCTCACCTGCATTTGATCAACAAGTCTTTACTACATAGTAAAATACCTAACTGGATGAAAGCAAGGCTTGCTTTCCATATAAAAGCTCCTTTTATAACTTCAAAAGTATCACTTTTTTCTAATTCCCATTTTAGAACTGGAAGTCTGTGTCTATGTGCACAGGGAGGGAGGGATGAGCTCATAGGTCATATATATGAAGCAATAATGTCAACAACCAGAAAAGAAAAATTGGTTCACGCTACGGGAGAAATTTTTACACTCAATTTAAATCCTTGCAAAAAATTATACATTAAGTATAAATTAGACATTTAAAATTTAGTAGATTCCCTTTATTAAACTACAACCTAGGGAAGAATAAGTGGTAGCAACGGCTTGAAAGAGTTAATTTTATTTAGTTTAATGCTGTAGCCTAGTTTCTTAGAGAGATAAAATCCATTGTCATTTTTATTCTAATCACTCTGAAAGCAACTGGTAGGCCAAGAATTCTAATAAGTTGTGGATAACAACTTGAGTCTAACTAATACTAAAAAGCCAGAAATTTACCTTAATATGAATGAAAATGTTAAATACTTCTTAAAACTAATAAATCAGATGACATAAACAAAAAAAAAAATTTCAGAACTTCAATTCTCTCTCTGAAAGTTTGATGCAACAATGAGGGAGGGAAAATTCAAGGGGTTACAAAATAATTTAATATCAAATCATAAGCAATAAATACATAAAAGCTTTACTCTGCTCTCTTTATATCCTTTAGTTTAAGATTTTCAGTATCCTCTAAATGAAAAACTGATTACAAAGTAATTTGATAGAAAAGATAAAACTAACATCATTAAATGACCCAGTTTTTGTTTTTACAACACTCACGCTGTTTTCTTTCTTACCTTGTCTATCCTATCTGGGCGGTTAGTAGCTGCCAAAATGGTCACATCCTTTAACTGTTCAATACCATCCATTTCTGTTAAGAGCTGAGCCAGAACACGGTCAGCTACATTCCCGGCACCTGAAGAACTGATTTTTAAAAATATAGTTTTAAAACTCTTTGCCTATGCCCAAGTACTTTATATAAAAACAAATTGTATAACAAATAACATTATGTCTATTTTACAACATTTGCTTCAGAATTCATTATTTGTTGAATTACCATGTCAAAAAACTAACTATATTCAAATCATTTCTTTTCCTTCATCAACAACCACATTCATTTTCTCTCCAATATTGAAATATATAAGATCTGGGAGGCAAGATACAAAATTATTTAAAACAATTCATCAAATATACAGAAAATCATGTAAGTTAATCAACATTTGCATTTTAAATGGAAAATATAGTGATAGGAATTAGAAATAAAAAAACTAAAATAAAAACCCATTCCGCAAATGAAGTTTAAAGCCTATGTGAAACAAAAAGTTTACACCCATAACAAATGGGTTATTTCTAATATACCCTGAATTTTCAAAATATTAATATTTCAGGGGAAGGAGTTAAGATGGCAGAGAAGTAGGGAGACTGGGATTTCCCTCATCCCTAAAACACAGGTGTATTGAGGTCAGATCACTTGCAATACCAGAGAATCAATCTGCAGAGTGGCAGAAGGATCTCCACAGGTGGAGGGGGACAGCTGGGCAGGATGCAGGTGCATGTATGTGAATCAGGGCAGGTAAAAATGGCATAGGCAGAGAAAGGAGGGAAACGCTCTATGGAGGGACAAAAGGGAGAAAAAGACAAAGGGGCTGTGAAATTGCGGTACTGAGTTAGCACAAGAGGAAAATCTCTCCAGAGCACGGAATGGAGAACTGGGGAACCAGAAATACAGAGAGTGCTAGTTACTATTTTGCAAACAGCCTTAAGAGCTGAAGCTCAGAGGTCTCAAAAGTCCATGACTTTCTTCTAACCTGAGTCGGCCCTCTGTGTGAGTGTGGGGGAAGAAGCTGCCCCAAGGTGCTGTAGCGATTTCAGGGGCACACTGCAAGAGAACAGTCCCCTTCCTCAAGTACTGTAGGTAGGGAGTTTATTGCCTCTCACAGGACAAAAGACCCTGCAGGTGCCAGCCAAAAGCTTTTTATCCACAGAACTGAGGGGCACTACACCAGAACAGGGTCCACAGGGTGCCAGGCCCCTTAAGACATTGGGTTTTGAATCCCAGCCAAGCACTTAGGAAGTGCGGGAGACTGTAGAGCAGAGCAGGCTGACTGCCCATGCTATTTTGTGAGGGCTTCATGAACAGCATGATTTGAGACACCCCGTTCAGTGAGGAGAAACTGGGATGTCACCATTTTTCTCTCCAACACTAACATATGGGGACTCAGTGAGCAACACAGCAGCTCCCAATGGAGGCGAGACCTGCTTACACCAAACCCACCCTTCCATGCCAGGCAACTGCTTATCCACTGTAGGAAAACTGATATTGAGACAACCAAACGGCCTCTCCTCCAGACCAGCACAGCCACTGGTGCCAGCCACCAAGAGACAACTGTTTTTTTGTTTTTGTCTGTCTGTTTGATGGTGTGTCTGCTTGTTCTTCTCTTTTTCTTTCTACTCTCTTCTTTTGGAATCAGGCTCATAGATTCTGATTTGTTTTTCGGTCAATTCTTATTTTCTATTTAATTTTTTTTTCTGTTTTGTTTGCTTAATCAGGCATTTTTATCTGATTCTTTTTACACCTTTTCTCCTCCCCCCCTCCTCCTCCCTTCCTCCCTCCTCCTCCTCCTCCTCTTCTCTTCACTTTCTTTTCTCTCTCTCTGGATTAAACTTTATAGTTCATTTGATTCTCTGCTTCATCTTCTTTTCTACCTTTGATTTTTCTCTTTGTATGGGATCAGGCTTCCCACTACCTTTCCTTTTTTCCAGTGTTACTTCAGTGAACAAATCAGAGCACACCTGGTTGAAGTTGAAACACTCCATCACTACAAGCAAGGAGGAGCCTTGCAGACGACTGACAGTGAGATAGAGCAGCCAAACTTCAACAACAGAGTGCATGCAACACATTCCGAAAACAGTTCCTGAAGTGCCAGAACCTGGACAGTGTATGATCCTTTTTTAATATAATAATACTCAAAGGTGCAGGACACATAACAAGCTTTTAAAACACATAAAAAACAGAAACATAGCCAAAATGATGAAAACAGAATTCTCCTCAAAAGAAATTCTAGGAAGAAATGATGGCCAGAGTTTTGCTGGAAACAGATATAAACAATATCTTATATCAAGAACATAGAGTAACAGTCATAAGACTAATAGCTGGGCTTGAGAAAGCATAGAAGACAGCAGAGAATCTATTGCTGTAGAGATAAAGACCTGAGAAATAGTCACAATGAATTAAGAAATACTATAAATGAGATGCAAAATAAACTAGATGCAGAGACAGTGAGGGTGGAAGAAGCAGAGGAGAGAATAGGTATAACAGAAGAAAAAATCATGGAAAATGATGAAGCTGAAAAAAAAGAGGGAAAGGATGGGGCGTCCGGGTGGCTTAGTCGGTTAAGCGTCCGACTTCAGCTCAGGGCATGATCTCGCGGTTCGTGGGTTCGAGCCCCGCATCGGGCTCTGTGCTGACTGCCAGCTCAGAGCCTGGAGCCTGTTTCAGTCTGTGACTCCCTCTCTCTCTGACCCTCCCCTGCTCACGCTGTCTCTCTCTCTCCTAGAAATAAATAAAAAACATTAAAAAAAAAATTTAAAAAAAAAAAAAGAGGGAAAGGAAACAACTAGATCGTGAGGAGAGAATTAGAGAGCTAAGTGATTCCATAAAATGAAACAATATCCAAATTATACAAAGCCCAGAAGAAGACCTAGAAATGAGGCAGAAGGTTTATTTGAACAAATTATAGCCAAGAACTCCCCTAATCTGGGAAAGGAAATGGGCATCTAAGTCCAAGAGGCACAGAGAACCCCCTTCAAAATCAACAAAAAATCAACTATGATATGTCACAGGTCAACACCATGACATCTCATAGTGAAACTGGCAAAATACAAAAATAAAAAGAGAATTTTGAAAGCAGATAGGGAAAAATGGGTCTTAATCTACAGGGGTAGACACATAAAGGTAGTAGACCTGTCCAATGAAACTTAGCAGGCCAGAAAGGAATGGCAGGAAATATTCAATGTGGTGTATGGGAAAAATATGCAGCCAAGAATCCTTTATCTAGCAAAGCTGTCATTCAGAATAAAAGAGAGATAAAGGCTTCCCCAGACAAACAAAAGCGGAAAGTTCATGACCACTAAACCAGCCATGCAGGAAATCCTAAGGGGATTCCATGAGTGGAATGCTGCAGATGACAAAGGACCAGAGACATCATCACAAGCATGAAACCTACTGATAACACAATGACATTAAATCCCTATCTTTCAATAATCATTCTGAAGGTAAATGGACTAAGTGCCCCAATCAAAAGACAGAGGTTATCAGAATGGATTATAAAACAAGATCTATCTATATGCTGTCTATAATAGACATATTTTAGAGCTGAGACACCTACAGATTGAAAGTGAGGGGATGGAAAACCATCTATCATACTACTGGATGTCAAAAGAAAGCCAGAGTAACCATACTTATATCAGAGAAACTAAAACAAAGACTATAACAAGAGATGATCATAATAAAGGGGTCTATACATCAAGAAGACCTAACAATTATAAAAGTTTATGGCCCTAACATGGAATACCCAAATATATAAGTCAATTAATCACAAATATAAACAAATGTATAGATAATAATACTGTGATTGTAGGGGACTTTAATAATCCACTTATAGCAATGGACACATCATCTAGGCAGAAAATCAATAAGTAAACAATAAATCTGAATGATACATCAGACCACAAGGACTTTCATCCAAAAGCAGCAAAATACACATTCTTCTCAAGTGCACATGAAACAATCTCCAAAATAGATCACATACATACAGGGTCACAAAACAGCCCTCAAGAAGTATAAAAAGATTGAGATCATACCATGCATATTTTCAGATCACAACACTATGAAGCTTGAAATCAACCACAAGAAAAAATTTGGAAAACCCCCAAGTACAGGGAGGTTAAAGAATATCCTACTAAAGAATAACTGAGTCAACCAGGAAATAAAAGAAGCAATTAAAGAATATATGGAAGCAAATGAAAACATGACAGCTCAAACTCTTTGGGACACAGAAGGCAGACCTAAGAGGAAAATACATTGCAATCCAGGCCTATCTCAAGAAACAAGAATAATTCTAAATACATAACCTAACCTCACATATGAAGGAGCTAGAAGCAGAGCAGCAAAGAAACCCCAAAGAAAACAAAACAGGAGAATAGATCAATGACTATAATAGCTCATTTTTTGAAAGAATAAACAAAATTGATATACCCCACCCAGACTTCTCAAAAAGAAAAGAGAACCCAAATAGATAAAATCATGAATGAAAGAGGACAATTCACAACCAACACCCAGAAATACAAATGATTATTAGAGAATACTATGAAAAATTATATGCCAACAAACTGGACAACCTAGAAGAAATGGACAAATTCCTAGACACTTACACACTACCAAAATTCAAACAGAAAGAAATAGAAAATTTGAACAGACCCATAACCAGCAAAGAAATCGAATCGGTTATCAAAAATCTCCCAACAAATAAGAGTCCTGGGCCAGGTGGCTTCCCAGGGGAATTCTACTAGACATTTAAAGCAATGTTCAAAAAAACAGAAACAGAAGGAAAGTATCTGGACTCATTCTACGAAGCCACCATTACCTTGATTCCCACACTGGACAGAGACCACACTAAAAAGAATTACAGGCCAATATCCCTGATGAACGTGGACATGAAAATTCTCAATAAGATACAAGTAAATCGAATTCAAAGGTACATTAAAAGAATTATTCACCATGATCAAGTAGGATTCATTCCTGGGCTGCAGGGCTGGTTCAATATTTGCAAATCAATCAGTGTGATACATCACATTAATAGAAGAAAAGATAAGAACCATATCATCCTGTCAATGGATGCAGAAAAAGCATTTGACAAAGGGGC